AGGCGTGTGCCACCACCAGCCCAGCCTTTCTCTATCTTAACATGGGTTCCAAGGATCAAACTTGGGGTCCTCAGGCTTTCTGCGGGGCAAGCACTTTACTCAAAAAGCCACCTTGCCAGGCCAGCAATAGAATTTGAAATCAGGAGACAGGGAAGCCTTTTCTTGAAAGGACTGAGCATGGAGCCCCAGAGAAGTGCATGGGTGAGTATATGGCTCTCGGGGAATGTGCCAGGCAGAATGGCCAGGGCCAGGGCAGAGGCTCATAAGAGAGGAACCAAAGTCAAGAATGCAGCAGGCAGGGGCATACAGGGGACAGTCATTTTTAGGCCTATCCTGAACACTTGGTAAGCCAGAATGTGCACAGTCAAGAGCCCAGCTTCTCTGTGAGGTCCTGGTCTCATCTGCACTGTGCTATGTGTCCAGGGCTGTGCCTGAGCCCTGACGGTGGTGAAATGTCCAGTTTGGAAAGGAGCCGGGAAAGCTGTTGTTCCTGCAACACAGAACTGTTAAAAGCTAGTGTGGCCCCTGGCGAGCTGGGGCTTGCCTGCCTGCATCTTGTGGGTGAGTGGGGGGTGGCTGGGGATGCCATCAGGCTATATACCTTTGGGCTTGAAAGTTGGGAGTTGAAGAGGAGGGATCTTTGAGAGGTAAAGCAGAGTAAACTGAAGGCGGACCTTAGCTGCTAGGATTAGGCAGGATTTCCGCTTGGGAGCAGCCTCCCCTCCTCCCTCTCTTCTGCTGGGTTTTGCGTCACAGCCGTCCCCCCTTAGCTCTCAGCTCAGAACTGTGTAGAAGACTCAATCTTGACTTATGGAGGTGTAGGAAGGAAGAGAATCAGGCAACAGACAACAGTGTGGGGGAGCATCCTTCCAGGGGGACAGATCTGGGAAGGAATATTGGAGAGTCCGGCTCCCCAGGACCCCTCAGCAGGTCTGGGGTGTATGTTGGAGCTAGGGGTGCTTAAGTGCCTCGATACCCAAGAGAGGTTCCGTAGTGGGAGGGTGTGGGCCCGGGAGAGGCTACATATCCTGGAATGGAGGCCCGGTGACAGGATGAAGAGGGGAAGCTGGTACAGTGAACTGCAGATAGAACTCTTGTTCCAAAGGGCATGTGAAGTCCAGGAAGTGGAAGGAGAGTGGCTTTAGGTAGGTGGGTGGGCTCCAGTCTCCAGACAGGCTGATCTGTGATGGCTGATCTGTGATGTCGAGTGAGCACTAAGGAGCCCCCATTCCCTTTCTGGAAACCCTGGAATGAATGCCTGTTGTCCTCACTGGAAAGGGTTAAATGAGCTGGCTGCCTCTCTTGGCTCTAAAGAAGAGTAGGCCCACATTTGGAAAGCTGGGCCCAGGTTGGAAGGTTGGGGGTGGTGAAGACAGGATGACATTGGTACATGCTGTGTTATGGTCAATCTTGCCAGGGTCCCACTGCCTGAGCTCTGGACACGGGCTCACTGCTGCCCAGGCCAGCTGCCTCTGCTGAGGATTTGTGACCAGAATGGTCAAGGAAGGCTTCAAGAGAAGTCAGGAATGTGGGCCTGTAATACAAAATCTGCCAATTGGGAATCAACCGACAAAAATGAAGCCAAGAAGCACCATGCAGGCCCAAGCTCAACCCACCGTCTGACTGATGGTCCCTGCCTAGGCAAAGGTGGTACATAGTGCCACCCTAGTTTACTATCACAGGTGCCTTCTGGAGGCAGCTCCTCCACACTCTCCTACTCTGGTCAGCATCCCCAGGACTTCCAGGAGAACATGGCCATCTTGCTGGGCTGTGTGGGCCTGGGCACACCTCTTGCCCTCTCTGGCTTACAGAACAGGTCTATAGGGTTCCCAGCAATTTAGGGAGCATCTGGTTAAGTCCCTCAGCCTTGGGGAGAAGATGCAGTTATTATGAAGTTACTCTGAGAGATGTTCTTCCGGGATGGGATGAGGTGATCAGAGGTACTGTGTCCACAGTCACAGTTGTATGTGAGACAATGTAGGTGTGTCATAATTTGGAGCTTTGCATGACCCAGTGTAAATATCATTTTAATAGCCTTGTGCTGGGACCTTTCATGGCTGTGCTGGAAGCTGCTGGGAAGCCTTCATTAACTCTCCTGTGACCTGAGGGGTGTATAGTCCTTCTTCCTCGTTTGCTGTTAAGGAAACCCAGGCCTTGTCTGGAGGATGACATGGCTGAATGAGCACCTCTGGGCCCCCTGACTCACGAGTGAGTTTTGGTGGGGGCAGGGGACTCGATGGGTGAGACTACTTTGTGGTCTGAGGGTCTGCCACAGTGGAGCTGAGTGGCAAGGAGCAAAGAAAGGGGTCTGCCTGAGTTTTCTTTGGCTACCTCCCTGGTCCTTGTCCACGCCCCTCCATCCCTATCCCCAAAGCGCCTGGCCAGTGTTCTCCCCAGCCACCTGGCGACCGAGCCCCAAATCTCTTTTTCAGTGTCAGGCGTGTTAGCCAGTCCTCCCGGGAGTCTACAGCTTTAGCTGGAATAGGACAAGAAGGCCGGAGTGTAGGAAACCCGAGTTTTGTGTTCCTCCTCATCCAGGGTGGCAGC